GCTGTAGCCGCAGGGAGAGCAGCCGTTTCGGCATATCGCGTGAGGTGGTCCACAGCGACAATGGCCCAGCGGTTACCAGCAGACGTTATTGGAAGTGGCCCATACAAATCGATGACAACACGCCCAAAGGGCCTGGCAGGGCAAAGTAGAGGTTGCAGACCTACAGGCGACAGGTGCGTTGAAGCTTTGCGGCGCTGACAATTATGCAGGAGCGAACGAATTTCTGCACGTAGCGGTACATGCCGCGCAAAAGTACCGTTGGCGAATGCGGTGGTAAGTCTTCGATACCCCGGAGTGCGCACATTGCAGATCAGAATGAAAGAATTCGCATATGTCAGAGCGCAGACTGCGAGGTATGACTAGTAGCCACTAGCGGCCGTCACTGTTGTAATTGCGTCTGTGGAGGAGGTCGTCGCGAAGGGCGAAATGGTGGGCTTGACGACGCAACGCGCGAGTGGATGGAGTGGATGGATCAGTCAGCAAGTCTATCAGATGAGGCAATCCATTGATCCTTGCGCTGTTCAGCAGCAATGGTATGAATGCTAATCGAAGAAATGGCAAGGTGAGACGCTGAGTTGTTGGCATTGTCGTCAGGCAAGGAAGAGCGCGACAGGGCGTCGGCGTCAGCATGTTGCCTTCCATTGCGGTACATCACGCGGATGTCGTAATCTTGCAGGCGAAGTGCCCACCAGGCGAGACAGCCTGAGGGATCTTTCAATGACGACAACCAGCATTAGTGCGTGATGGTCGGTGACGACATCAAATGGGCAACCATACAAGTAAGGTCAGAACTTTGCAAGGGCCCAGACGATTGCCAAACATTCTTTCTCGGTGACTGTGTAATTAGTCTCTGCTTTAGTAAGCGTACGGCTTGCATACGCACGACATATTTCGGGAACCCTGGTTTGCGCTGCGCAAGGACAAGCGCCGACGCCGACACCACTGGCATCCGTGTGTACCTCTGTAGGGGCCGTAGGGTCGTAGTGGCGAAGTATGGGAAGCGACGCCAACAAACGACGAAGTGTTGTAGGAAGCGTCGTCGCACTGTGATGACCACGAGTGGAGAGGCCCGTTACTTCCTAGGAGCTTCGTCAGCGGCGATATGATAGTTGCGAAGTTTCGAATGAAGCGCCGAAAGTAGGAACACAGTCCTACGAAACTGCGCAGTTTCTTGACGGATGTCAGCTTGGGGAACTCGGTCACGGCCCGAAGTTTGGCTGGATCAGGAAGAATTTTGTCCTTGGACACGACGTATCCGAGTATTGTCAGCTGCCGAGCTGCAAATCGGCACTTCTTTAGGTTCAGTTGCAGACTGGCGTTAAAACATGCCGAAGGCGTTGAAGATGCGTTGAGAAGTACGGAGCGAAAATGACGACGTCATCGAGGTAGCACAGGCACGTCTGCCATTTCAGGTCACGCAGAACAGTATCCATCATGCGCTCAAACGTGGCGGGTGCATTGCACAGCTCAAACGGCATGACGTTGAATTCGTACAAGCCATTGAGGGTGACAAAAGCGGTCTTTGGTCGAGCGTCCTCAGCCATAGGTACTTGCCAGTACCCTGAGCGCAAATCGAGGGATGAAAAGAATTCTGCTCCTTGCAGGCTGTCAATCGCGTCATCTACCCGCGGTAGTAGGTACACGTCTTTACGAGTGATCTTGTTGAGGTGTCGGTAGTCCACACAGAACCGCACAGAACCATCCTTCTTCGTGACGAGAACGACAGGAGATGCCCAGAGGCTGCTAGAGGGGCGAATAACATCGCGGCGAAGCATGTCGTCGACTTGCTCGTTGGTTACACAGCGTTCCGTGGGAGATACGCGATATGGACGTTGCCGCAGCGATGGCTGTGCGCCTGTGTCGATGCGATGAGTAACGGTGGATGTGCGGCCGAGAGAAGGTTGAGAGACATCGAAAGAAGAGCAAAATTCTTCCAACAGGCCCAAAAGCTGGGAACGCTGGCCCGGCGTAAGGTTGTCGGGAATGGAGGGACCGAATACATCATCAGATGATGAAGCAGATGTCGAAACAGCACTAAGCGTACAGGAACTTGAGCAGTGCATGTCATCGGGCTGATCCATAACTTGCGCGTCGTCGATGGGTTCCACGCTGCCGAGACATTCCCCTCGCACCAACGTAACGCTGCACGGGGATGAGTTCACAACAAAAATAATGGTGCTACCGTGAGTAAGTTGCACGGTCGCGAAAGGAACCAGCAAGCCTTTTCTTATGAAAACACGATGAGATGGCGAGAGGAGTGCAGCGGTGTCCGAAAGGCTTGCGCAGTAGAGCGACACCGCCGTGAACGAGTTCGCAGGCACTTGAGTGTCGTCTCTGACGAGTAACTTGCTTGCAGCAGATGGAATGTCGGCCGGCGTCAAAGAAGAGAATTGTGCGAGTTTTATTTCTGCTGGTGCGCAATGAATGACGGCGTCGTGGCAGGAGAGAAAATCCCATCCTAGGATGACATCGTGAGAGCATGAAGGAATTATGATGAATTTGACCGCATACATCACATCCTGAATCATAAGGCAGGCTGTGCACATCACTGTAGGGTGAATGCTTTGGGCGCTGGCTGTACGAAGGGAGAGTCCGGAAAGCGGCGTGGTCACTTTGCGCAGTAATCGGCTAAGTTTTGCGTCCATGACGGATACTGCGGCTCGAGTATCTACAAGGGCAGATGCACGAACGCCATCCACAAGCACGTCTATCACGTTCGACGGGCTTTCCTGAGGGCTTCCGTAGTTCGACAGCGTCGCAGCCCTTGCCTCGTGGACTGCGACGACTAGTTTTCCTGTTCGCCCTCGAGTGGACGTGGCCGCATCGGCGACAGTGAGCGACGTCGTGGAGATGGTGAAGGGCGGGTAGACATAACGAGGCGGGACGACGGTGACATAGGCGGCGGTTGGTCATAAGAGCGGCTTGATTGGCTGGGAAAGTTGGAGGCGACCTGCCGTTGCTGCACACGATTGCAATAGCGTGCTACATGACCGACGCAACCACAAGCAAAGCAGATGGGGCGATTGTCAGCAGTGCGCCGTCTGTTCGCGGGTCCTATCCATGTCGCAGAACGCGATGGGCGAGCCGGCTGCTGATATGAGCGCATGGTAGGTGGCACTCGGGGACACGTGGGTGACGCTGGCATATGTAGGCGAGACAGTTTCTCCGAAGGCCTGGGGCCTCGCGACGGTTTCGGTGTAACTTAGGGAACAGCGACAGAAATCGGTGGGGGCGGCCTGGCGACAACTTGGGCGTAGCTGAGTGGCGCAGATACAGGAGGCGGCTGGTGGTATTCAGGAACGACCTCCGCGATTTCCTGCTGAATGGCTCGGCGGAGCGGCGGTGGAAGTGTACTTGATGGCTGTTGAGCATGTTCTGGGGAAGCAAAAGCTAGTAAAGAGACCTGGCGGGGAACTTCCTCATGCACGAACTACTTGATTTCGGCGAGCAAGGTTGCGTGGTCAGGAACTGCTGACAAGGCCGAGAGATCAGCATCACGACAGGTCATCAAGCGCTGCCGCCGCAGCTCGTCGTAACTTTGGCATAACGTAATGACTTCTGCCACAGTGCGGGGGTTCTTTGCCAGGAGCATGGTGAAGGCATCGTTGGCGATGCCTTTTAGAACATGCGTGATTTCGTCAGCCTCTGACATGTTCAGGTCGACTTTCTTGCACAAGTCAAGGATGTCCTCGATGTAACTTGTGAAGGACTCGCCGGTCTACTGGGCTCGTTCACGTAAACGCTGTTCGGCTTGCAGATTACAAACGGCCGGACGGCCGAACACGTCGACGACAGCGGTTTTAAAAGCGGACCAATTTGGGAAATCAAATGCGTGGTTGTTGTACCACATGCCGGCCACACCAGCGAGGTAGAAAAACAGGTTGCCGAGTTTAGCTGCCTCGTCCCAATGGTTGGGGTTGCTCACGCGTTCGTACATGGCAAGCCAGTCCTCGACGTCGGTGCCATCCGCGCCGGTGAAGACAGGAGGGTCGCGGATGCGGAGGACAGCGGGACATGGCGTTGGCGTAGGAGGAAGTGTTTGCTGGGCGGCGTCTTGGTGCATGGTTGAAGGCACGGTACGGGATCGAAGCTCCAAGGGCATCGAATGCAGACCGAAGGCGTTTGAAGAGCACAGCACTCTCAGCACTCTCCACTAAATTGTTAGCACTCAGCACTCTCCACCAAAAACGCACGCCGTGGGTGAGAGCCACAGCATTTAGGTGAGGAACAGGGCCATTCCAAGCCGCAAGCCTTACCGGAAGCGAAACCACCTCTAGACATGGCGACGACAAGTTCATCGAGGTTTGCCGTGGTGCCCATGGCAGCGGTGGCGGCGGCAGCAGCAGTAGCAGCAGCAGCAGCAGCCGTCCGTCCTGTCCCAGTGGCATGCTGTGGTCTTCTACTTCATGCTGGTGTTCGGAGACCATATGCAGAACCCGTTCGAGTACAAGCTGTACTACTACAACAATCTGGAGCAGAACGCGATCGCGCAAATCTACGCCCTTGGGGCTCTCGGAGGCTGCTTCGCCGATCTCTGGGGACGTTCGTTCGCCAAGCGCATGGGCTGGAAGCTGTCTGCGGCGCTTCTGCTGGCGCTGCTCATGCAGTCCTGTCTGATGAAGAACACCGATCACCTGCTAACGCTGATCTCAAAGATTCTGGCTAAAATCTGCCTGCTCACACTCTTCCCGCTGGCCGTCAGCATTTTCAGTGCCCGCACCAAGCCGTCAGAGACGGCCACCATGATAGGCAACGCCTTCATCGGCATCATCTCGGGTGTGATTGGCAGCCTGCTGTGCGACGTCATCTACTTCGACTGCTTCATCATGTTCTACATCGCCGCTTTCGTCCTGGGCGCCCTGTTTCTCTTCCACTGGCTCACTCCGCTGTCGTAGTCCATCAGGGAGTTCCTGGAACCATGCCGGTCCGACGGCGTCGTCACCCCTGCCGTGCTCTCCTCAGTGGTGGGCCTGTGGTGCTGCAGCAACCGTCGTCGAGGCCTTCTGGACGCCCCTGGTCAACCCTTCCAACATGAACGTCGGCCTGCTCTACGCCCTGTACTGCCTCTCCACGTCTTCGGCGGCTGCTTCTTCCGGGTGACCCGCGTGATCGGGGCGAAGCCCCGCTACACCCTGACCCTGGCGTGCCTCTTGGCGGCTATCGGCATGTTTTTCGCGGCGGCTGCCATGCCCATTTACCCGGACTCGGTGCTGGTCATTGTCATGGCCATGCTGACCTTCCACTTCGCCCTCGGTCTGTGGGGCGTTGCACTGCGCAAGCTTCAGGACCGCGTCCCGCTGTCACCCCTGAACAAGACCAATGCCCGTTGCGCGGGACGTCTGGTCAGAGCCATGATGATTGTGAAGAGAGAGTTCGACACTCAGTACCTGTGCGGCGTGTTCACCCTCTGCTGCCTCTTCGTTTTGATCTTGCTGATACTCGTGCAGTCGCTGGCTCACTGGAAGGAGAAGTCTCGAGTCATCCAGATGCTCCGGTCCTTGGCTGGTCCCTCGTCGACGTTGTGATGCATGAGTTGGCGTTTCGGGACGCGTTAGCTGAGGGTGGGCTCTGAAGACAAACACCGGATTCACTTTGACGTTACCCCGCACCTCTACCAAATTGTTAAGAGGTTTATTGGCAGGACACTCCGCGATGATTAACGACAGCGACAGTCAATGTGGGGACCGACTCTCTGCACGAGCTGCTGTTCTTCTTATGAAAAAGGCGACCCACTAGAAGGCGCTGGAGAGGACGACCCACTGTTCAAAGGCTTTACCCCACGATAACCTTCCACTGACAGATGATTAGCCTCTGCTCCACTGTGTTCAGCAACTATTGGAAACCTTTACTGAAAAACGTGGTACTGATACCACCACATTTTAATTTAACACAATTGCTCAGCTACACTAAGTACAGGCTGCTTACCTAAACTGCACAAACACACGACTTTTCGTGCGTTGCGTGGACAATACTGTTCCACTCAGCTGTCAGCAGGAGAGGGGTACCTATATTGGCAAAAGTGGCCGACCACTAGTATTAACAATCTCAACAACCTGATTTGGTAGGCTTCACAAGAGATGCCAAAACAAAACGTACTACCAGAGCCCCTGCTAAGAAGCAAAAGTTGTTTGAACAATTTATCGCCAAGCAGCAGCAAACGAAAGAACTAAGAAGCCCCATTTACCGTGTGCGAGCTCACCGCTACTGTTATCACAGAACAACAAAAACCTGGTCGGAACATGGCGAAATAAATATTAGCCATACAATCCATCTCGGACGATCTGTACCTTTCAAACTGGAAGAGGGTATACACAATGTAATTTCACAACAGCCCACTTTATGATTCGATAACGTTGAACACATTACTAGCAATAATGCCTTAATTGCACACAACATGTTCGTGCAGTGGTGCCAAGCTAAAATGACCAGATATGTAACTGCGGCTGGGACAGTGCGGTCACTATCTCGACAAACAGTTCTACATCAGACAGGCAACACATCCTGAATACAACATAATAAAATTGCACATTCGTGTGCTGATCAAGATAAAACGAATCCACAAAAACTGCAAGCCCAGCAATCCACTCCAGCCCATCACAAAACAAGTCGGCACTCGAAGCAACACAATCTGCACCAACAAGCAAGAATGTCCACCAGTGTATGCCAGCATAACAAATGACGAACATCGAAACAAAAGGAGAGAACTGAATCTGATGGGCAGAAATGACATTCACACAATCTCATTCACATTCATAAAAAATAAGCTCCACAAAATGTTGGAGGCATAGACACGATCCTTATAGGACAACTACAATTCAGGGTGATCAACAATTGCATTTTTATTCTAGCAAATCGATAACGCTGCTCTCATTAAGCCAGTCAATAGAAATCATTCCACGCTCAGACAGCTATGACTAAGAATGCCCACAAACATGACCTGAGAGATTCAATGGTCAAGCTATGGACAACAAGCGAGCCTTTGGCATTATATCAGAGTGAAATGTAAAAAAAACCTATGCTAAGCGAATATTTTAAAAAGCAATACTGAAAGACTCATTTACATAGTGCCCCCAACAGAAAACACGGAAATAACAAAAACTTGGGGTAATAGGCTAAGAACAAGCTTCAATCACCAAAAAAGAACATTGCAATTAATTCCAAAAAAGAAAACCTACTGCATTTGTGACAAGAAAAAAGGAAAGGTCACTTCTCTAGGGGTAGGCATCTTTGGGCAATATCTCAGGTAATAATCCACAACAAAAACGCCGGCATATGCACACACACTTCTTAATAGAATGAACGACAAACAACTCGCACCTCATGTCACTTCCCTTTTAGCCTTGCCAACCAGCTCCAAAAAATATATATACGCAGCTGATATGCCCACCTAATGCTTTCGCTTGTGACACCATTTAGCCCGTAGACACTACAAAAAAAAAAAATACACCTAGCATTGCCTTTTTTCACCTGCAGTAATGAATGACACAGAGAGATCACAACATAATAAGCTTAAAAAAACCGAAACAAGAAAAGGGAGGTCATTGAAATGTTCATGGGCGCGAGTTTGAATGATTATTATCCACACTTCGTTTACACATGACTACACCACTCTTCGTGACAGAGTCGTGGAGCCGCTGGTAGCGAATGACACTAAGAACGAACAAGTGAAACTATTCCCAGGCAACGTGTGTCAAACCTGCGAGGGGTCTTACGAGGCCAGTTGCTGCCGCTAACGAGTGACACAACCTAGTCATAATGCGATTGAAGTAAGGACAGTATGGACCAATGCACCAACTTCCAAGAGGGGCAGCGTTGGTTTTGAGTGTTGAAGTGATGACGTCGGAGAAGCTGCAGTCAACCACCCGGTTTGCGAGGAACCAGTTATCCTCAGATTCAACAGGTCCCTATAAAGGGAAAACAAACTTCAATATATGCCACGCGAACCATACTGCATTGATATTTGCGTTATAATAATGACAAGACCAAGTCAAAGAAGAGTGGGCAAGCGGGCTCAGCTATGGGGCAGGGGTGGTGGTGGTGCTCCAGCCGCTGCACGCAATAGGCAGAGAAATTTAAATTTTAATTGGATTTCAACCTGGCATGGGACGGGGCCTATCTTGTGGTAATTTCCTCCTTCATTCCTGTACAAAGAAAAAGCTTCACCTCAGTGAACAGGAACAAAGGGCACAATGTGCTCGCCCAGTCTGCTTAAATAAACCGGTCTACATAATTTATGGTCAGCATCCAAATGTGTTTAACTGATCTTAGCAGCACAGGAGCATAGCTACTACAGTGGATACCATCACAGAAATTTCTGAAGTATATAGCATCAACCAAAGTTCCTGAGAGTAACTGGACTCAATTTTCTAACAGGGTGCTAAATAAATTAGCAATATCAAAAATACCTTTCCCCAACTACCGAAAAAGATGCTAAAAGTGCAGTATATACGTCAGTGGCATTTTTTTTTCTGTCTCCTCCTGAAACAAGCTATGTAATGTAGTCCGTTTATAGCGTATGTCCCGGAGTCTCGAATATCCACACTAAAGGTGGTCCTGCACTATAACCAAAACAACCTTTATCAATGACTGCAATAGCACAAAACGTGCTGAGAATGCAGCCGCAGGGCTCAACAATCGAAGCATGCAACGCGGAGTGCTTACAGCCATTTAAATTTGCAAATGTAAAAAATTGGCGTTCAATGACCTCCGTTGCCAACAAAAATGCAACGAAAAAGAATAACAGAAAGTGACAAAAAAAAGTGGCATTTTATTAATTCACAGACTGTTTCAGACCACCTTAATAATGGGCATAAGACAGAAACTATGTGCATAGACAGAAACTCCCTCCAGCACTCGTTTATTCACTCCAACTCCCCTCCTCCTTCATAACAACGATTTCACCGGACCTTCTTTGAGCAGTGCACTCCCCACTGCTTTGTCAGAAAGATTTTAGAACGACTGCATTGTAACTGACCTTTCATCTTGAGGAACCCACTATAAGCGGTATGAGTATATGTGGGGTTTCCACAAAGTAAATGAGTCTAAAAAGACTGCATTGTAACCAGTCTTGCACTGCAAACAGTTACATTATAAGTGGTCTGTACTATATTTAAAAAGCTATTTCTAGTGATGCTGCCTACACAGCACGTTGCTACTTTCATTCATTGCATGATGAAATTTGCAATGGGACATAGTGAGGTGCCAAACAAATGCCACGGCCCTCGTTAAGTACAGATCTTCTTTAGCACCAAATTATGAATAAGCAGCAAATATATTATCTTGCTATATTTACCTACGCATATAAAAGAGGTTCATGTTTTAAAGTTACTTTGAAGCGCACCAAAGACACAGAAGATTCAAGAGGACATGACAGTGCTTCTATTGTCTATGTCATTGGTACAGTTCGAGGCAATTTTTAAGCATGAATACGTACCGCCTAGCCTGACTAGCCAGCTTGTTGCACGCAAAAAGGACCGAAAAAGCATCAACAGGCGCCAAGTCCGAGAATATTGCTCACCACATGCCATGGTTGGCCCAGGCACGAAGGCCACGTACGGCTGTGGTAGCTTGGAGAGCCGGCCTCCTGCCACAGAGCCTTTAGCCGTCGCCGCAGCCAGAGCTGCGGCAGCGTTCGCCGTCACCACCTGTGCCGTGACAGCAGTGGTTAGGCCACCCACCCGTGCCTTGTGTTTAGCCCCCTGCAGGTGGGACTGCAGCTGCTGCTTAGAGGTCAGCGACGAGTGGCAGGGCTCGCAGTAGAACTGGCTCCCCCCTGCTAGCAGCGGCTTTTTTGGTGGCGGGGACTTGATCGCCATTCCGGGAGGGGGTCTGAACAACCATGGATACAAACACAGAGATAACACTGTTGTCGCAGCCTAGAGATTGATACTTACTTTACATCTATGTTCATTACAAACCAACGGAATAATTCCTACTTTACAACTATGCTCATTACAAGCCCATCTACATGCGATATCATGCCTAAAACGGAAGCTCTAAGTACAGGTGGCCACTGGCTAATGGAAGCACAATGTGATTTACAGGTTGTCTAAAAGGGGCCCTGCAACATTACTCCAAGTAACCATAAAATGGCTTCATTGAAGTATATTGCCTCACGAATTGATCACAACAAAGGCTTTTTAGAATACATGAGGTAAGAGCAGAGTTGAAGAGATTTATCGTATGCTGAAAGCTAATCAGAGATAACAGTGAAAAAAAAAAAAAAAAACACGGCCACAGACAGGAAACAGACGGAACAGCGCTTGTCCCGTCTGTTTCCGGTCCGTTGCCGTGCCTTTTTTCGCACTATTAACGTTAATATGCACAACCAACTAGCCCAGTCACCTACTTTACTAAGCAGGAAGGAATGGCACAAGGAAATGAAGTGACGGCATGCACATCTCATGTCTTTGAGCCCTTTTAAATGCGAAGCATTTCTTAGTGAACTGCAGGCACTTCGAGTGTGATCTCAGCAAGAATGAAACTCAAGTGTTCTGCGTGACAGTCGGGTGCTCTACCACAGAGTCATACCACGATTTGAAAGTGCTTTGGAAAAAGACACTATGCAGGCGTAAAGTTGGCGCGAATTAAATCGTGGTAGCAGTGCTGGTTATCCAATTTTATTACAAATGAACAAACATTACATATATAAACACATGACACAGATGTCATGGCGGGCTAATGTCAAGTGTGGTTCCAATGTTTACTCCATCGTTGTAGCAGTCTAATCAAAATTACACTTGTATAGCACAAAGCTCTGTTTCATAAAATACACACTCAAACCCCAAACTGTTATTAAAAATAAACACTATCTTTAAAAATCCCAAACCTAACGCAGTGGTTTTCCTCCTATTTCTCCAATCGCAAGCAGTATGTTCAAGTCAGCACGAAAAAATCTGCCCTTGCCAATGTTATTTCTGGAGTTCCCCAAGGCAGTGTCTTGGGCCCACTACTGTTTTTGATTTTTGTCAACGATTTACCTAAAGATATTACGGTTCCTATGAGGTTTTTTTGCAGACGATTGCATAATGTATAAAACAGTCAGGTCTCCTACCGATCAATCAGAACTAAATCTAAACCTCCAAAAAATACAAAACTGGTGCACCATTTGGCAGATGGATCTAAACACCGCAAAAACAGTAACGATGACCGTAACTAGGAAAAAACGCATTCTAAATACGACATACTCTATAAACGATCATGAGCTTGGCAGAGTAGAACAACACAAATATTTGGGTTTATTAATAACTTCCGATCTACGATGGAATTTGCATGAAGACTCCGTTTGTGCTAAGGCTAACAAAGCATTGTGGAGACTTCGGAGAAATCTGCACCATGCTAGCTCGGAAATCAAATGGTTGGCTTGCGAGGCTCTCGTACGGCCAATTATGGAGTACGCAAAGGTGGTATGGGATCCGTACACAACAAGTAATCGCACTAAGCTAGATAGAATACAAAGATTGGCGTCACGTTTCATATTTAACAAATACCAGCGCTGCCACTCCCCAACTCAGCTTTGCAAGCTGGCCCACCTTGAACCACTAGAACAAAGGACAGAGTATGAAAGACTTAAACTACTGTTTTTAATCATTAAAGAACAAGTAAAAATAGACAAGTCGAAGTATATGTATATAAAAACTGGGGAAACGTCAAGGCACCGGCATAACATGTACATCCCCCCCTCCCAGATCATACAACGATTGTTTTAAGTTCAGTTTCTTTCCGCGGGCGATCAGTGAGTGGAACAGGCTGCCGAATTCCACTGTCTTATCGGAATGTGTACCTTCTTTCTTGAAGGGCCTAAGGTATGTCGTGTATAAAGATGTATAGTTTATATTTTGCTTATTCTATGTCCTCAGGAGCAGAGTGCTCTGGCTATTTCTTGTCATTCATTGTTATGTATAATAGAAGTTGTATAGGGAGTACCAATTTTTTTGTATGTATATTAGTTTTTTCCACCCCTGTTATAGCCCAAATGGGGCTGACAGTATAATAAAATGAAATGAAATGAATGATATAACGACACTTCTACGAAGTATTTCTTACTCCCCGTCAGCTTGCCAGCTTGCAAGTCAACACATAAAAGTCCTCGCCCCAATAAACGACTTTTCAGGCTTGTTTTCGCTTCAACGAAACTTCCGTTTAGTAAACCTTGGCTTGAAAATTTGTTCATGATAAAGTGAGAATATCGCCAACAGTACAACATTTTGTACATTCGCAACACCTTGCTTCACTGAAAATGTGAGTCCATCGCACCACTTGTAGTAAACAAACTGATAGGAGAGCGTTTGTTGGTGATGGCGATGCACCTGGCCCCCTTGCGACAAAGTGCAGCCCCGCTTTGTTAAGCCAGAGCCACAGCCAATCAGTAACTAATCTAGGTCACCTGATCACACCATACACCAAAGCAACCAAATTAACCTAAGTGCCTGTAGTTAAGCCGATGCTTGTCATCTGTGCTTGTACACTTACGTGCGCCGGACTTTGTGCCATCAAGGCGAAAAAGCACAAGTTCCTTTTTTTTGGTGTGAAGAAGAAGAATGCTTCATTTTTCAATGAAACTGCTTACGAACATTTGTGCAAAAACATCCAAATCCGTAGCTGACATGGCTAGTTAAGGATCCTTTATAGACCAGGCATTTTGTTTAACTAGCGAGTAAAATCTTTACACAGAGAATTCAATCACACATTACAAAATCATATGCGGACATGTAGGGAAATACAGAAATAATGCAACATACGTATATTTCCAAATTATTAGCATGGCAACTGGTAACTCTCCAATAGGAAGAGTTTCCGGAGTGACTGAATCATATTTAGCAGACGTTTAACTAGGGTAGGGATACTGTTCCAAATTTTAGCAGCAACAAAAGGTATTGTTTGATGGCCGTAGACATTGTGTACTTTTGGCAGATTAAGATTTTGTTGTTTGGCCTGCCGAGTGTGACCTCTGGATTTTACTAAAATTCATGCGTGAAAGGGTACATTCTTATTCAGTATTTTGCATACTAATATTGCACTTTTGCATTGCCTAACCATATCAAAAGGCCTTATGTTCAGATTTCTGAAAAGTTCATCCAATGATGCATTCTTGGGTGCTGAAGCAATTGTTCGTACAGCTCTTTTTTGTAAGATGGTTATGATTGAGCAATATGAGGCATATGTGTAGCTCTATGATTCAATGCAATAAGTTAGGTGAAAGTGGAACACGTTGCAGTATAAAATACGGAGTATATGAGCGCTAAAATATTTTTCTAGCTTTAAATAATGTAAAGCATTCAAAGCTTAGTTTTCTGCATAAATTGTCTATATGCGATGTCCAGTGAAATGAATGGTCCAATGTTACACCAAGGTAAGTATACGCGTTCACTTTATCAATGGGAGTTTTCCTGGTGAATAGACCATGCGTTTGAGATATCATTTTTTTGGTTACAGGAGAAAACTATGTACTCGTTTTTTTTTGTATTTAGTAATAAGTTGTTGTTTTTAACCACTGAGAAGTCATTTGGAGCTCTTTATTGGCTAGTGATTCGGCTTCCTGAAAAGAGTGACATGCTATGAGTAAAGCAGTGTCATCTGCATACAGAGATGCTTGCATATGGATTAAGAAAAGAGGATAATCATTAATGACGAGGGGTAACAAAATCTGTCCAAAGTACTAAACCTTGCGGCACAACAGTTTCGACGAGCTTCCTGTTTGATTTGTTACCAAGTATCTGTACATATAGAGTCCGTTCAGACATATAACTACGAAAGAACTATGAAGATATACCTCTAAATCTATAGCGTTCAAGTTTATTTAGCAATATATTGTAGTCTACCGAATCAAAAGCTTTTTTTATGTCAAGGAAGATGCCGAGGACGAATTGGTTATTGTTTAGTGTTTGGTTTACTGTTTCTGCCACAAAGCTTACTGCAGTAGCTGTACTGTGTTCTTTCCTAAAGCGATGTTAATTAGGAGATAGGGTATTGCATTTTGTAATGAAGTCCATCATTCCTTTGGCTACAAGCTTCTCAAAAAAAGTGTTCACACATGATAGAATTGTTATAGGGTGGTAACTTGCTTTTTTGTCAAAGCATTCACCTTTGTGGATTGGTGGCACCCTGCCTATCTTAAGCTGCTCGGGGTACACGTCTGTCATGAAGGACAGCTTAAAAATAACAGCTAGAGGTGTGCTTAAGGTTTCCATATTGTCCTCCAATATTTTAACTGGTACTCCATCATGTCCTATGGCCTTGTGTGATGACATCTGGCGTACAACTGCAATAATTATAGCTTCAGTAATTTCACGAAGAAAGAAGGTATCCTAGTGAACAGCAGGGAATGGCGAGTTATGTTTTCATTTGTACCTGTTGCCGACTGCTTTCCTATGGTTACAAATTAATCATTAAAAAGTTACGCTAGCTCTTGTTCATTACAACCCACGACGTCTAAATTTGGTAAAAGAGGTTGTCGAGGCTCTGGATTTACTACCGCCTTTATTATACGCGAAATTTCCTTTGTGTCACCGTTTGCTTTCATGATGAGGCTACTGTAATATTCCTTTCTTCCGTTTTCTCATCGTTGATAACCGATAGATTGCACCTGCTTCTGTACAATTCTTTATAATAACCGTTGCCCTTATTTGGATTCATTTTAGTTAGCCAGTGTTCTCTTAGTCTAACAACTCTGAATATTTCTTCGTTCATCCAAGGGCAAATTGGTGTAGACAAGTTTCCGGTCGAATCATCAACGAGGCACACCAGAAATATGTTACTGGGCACAAGCATCAACGAATACGTTACTGCTGATGTGGACGCTATTCATTTTGAAGATCTAATTGACAAGG